GGAAGCCTGACCGAGATGCGCTACTCTCGGTTTCCGGCGGAGCGGATGAGGATGGGTTCGACTACTAACACACATTCCAGGAGAGTGGTGGATATTAATTTTCGATAAGTTTTTCGGAAGAGAAACATCGAAAAATGATAAAGAAATGAAATCCAAAATTCATTTTCATCTTTTCATTTTTTTTTCTTTGTTAGAAAAGTTTTATTTCGAAGTTATTATATATTTTTTTTTTTGTATTATAAAAGTATAGAAATGATTATTATATAAAAAAAAATATAGATATAAAATACAGAGTTTAAATACTTTTGTATAAAAAGAAAAATAGAAAATTTTCTATAAAGAAATTCTATTCCATTTATTTTGAAATAAATAATTAGAAATATATTTCATATATATCGTAGATGTTCTTTTTCGCGGTAAGAAAAGATTATTAGATAAAATGATTCGACGAATAAATGGATTATTCTATTTAAAAATGGAACAAAGAAGGGAATGTTTCTTCGTTGAATTTATTTTCAATTTATTATACAAAACAATGATTGTGTACTACGGTTTGTTACGATATCGTACCATAATTGGTCACTGAAACGTAAGCAATTAGTGGGTTTAATCTAAAGTGTATAATACACGTGCATTCGTCATGTTTCCTAATTGTTATGCTCTTGCATGCAATTCCACATTAATACGCGTACTAGAATTCATACTTATAGATTCTGTTATCATCTTTGCGAAAATTAAAAACAAATATTTATAGCTTTCGTGTTTTGATACGAAAGTATAAATTAAATAAAATTTCTAATGAACAAGGATACTAATAAGATCGAAAGGAAAAAAAATATTACCGGTTATTTTATCGTGCGTCGTGTCGTTATCTATGGTCGTGCATTCGTAATTTATAAAACTGGAACAACTATATTAGACCATTCTACAGGTTCATACCGGATATTACATTAATATTTAAATCAATACTTGAAATATATTTTTAATAATAGAAATATCAATCCCGTTACAGACGGTTTAGACTAAAAGATTAATGCTGACTTTTATCGAGTCGTATATAAAATGTATTTTGTAATGTCAGAAAACTTATAATTTCCCGAAATTTCAATTTTTTTTCTCTTCTATCGTATTTTTTTCTAAGCAATCTCGATTAATTTTTACGAAGAAAATGCATCGAATAGATTAAAAAAATATAATACTTTTTTAAGATATTTTTTAGGATACCATCATTTTCTTAGGACCCAATATCGTTATTGAAATGAAAAGAAGATTGATTAATAAAGTTATTGACAAATACAATATTTATATCAGAATTTCTACATTTAAAACGAGTCAAAGGTGGTAAAAACTTAATAACCTACAAAGAGAAGAATGTGATACTCTTCTCTCAAACTCGCATCAGTAACCTAATATAAAACAGCGGTACATGATACGAAAGACAGTTGAGATAATACCTGCAATTATCCTCCTACCTCTTAGCGAAAGGAGTACAGTCATAAACGTGCTTCACCGCCAAAATACAATACGACACCGACATACTCTATAAAGCTGCACTTTCATTCACCCATCATCCCTCATAATTCCTCCAACGATTTTAGAAATCGATGGCCACAGCCTCGATAATGATGCTCAACAAGAATACAATACTTTTTTTCATAAAATAGTTTGTCCCAGAATGAAAGAAATATTTAACCAAAGTAGTAAGAAATGATTAATTCAAAATATTTTTATTTTATGTTTTAGGTAACACTATAAGAAGAAATGGCGTCAATTTCCATTGCCTTCATTATGTAAAGTATTAAATAATAATATTAATAATCGTAAAAATAATGATAGCTCCAAATTTATAAGTTGTCCAATATTATTTGCATGAAATTATAAATAATTTATTATACATATTATACGTGTATTTAATGCTACGTAATGTAAAACGAAGCTGAATATTAAATTAATTTAACATTGCTAGCGCGAAATTAT